CGGACCACTTGAGATTAAGCCCAGCATATTGAGACCAGTTAGAACTAGAAAGTAAAACAAGACAGTCTGTGTGAGCTCACCGTGACTGTAATACATAGTGCACACCTGATCTGTCATTATGCTCAGAGACCACACCTGTTCAAACTGCTAGAGAGTGTGTGGATCCAATGTTGGTTTTATCAGTCACTCTGGGGTTCATGGAAGACAATCATCAACAAGCACAAGGATATAGGGATCTGTGATTAAGTATATGCCTTAAATAGTCTTAAAAAGCTTTTTTTGAATGAGATCCTTGAGTCAACAACTTAATAACTAAATTGGGTTCATTGCTCTCCTTTCGCCTTGTAACTTTTCTTTATGAACTTGTGCACATCTTGCAGTGTGAGTTTGGTGTCTGCTCCTTCCCATTGTGTTGTAGACAAAAGAACCAAGTCTAAGTAAGCTCTGAATTTTCTGTTTGTCCTCTTTCCACTACATTTGACTACATTAATATATTTTACAAGTACTGTACACATTTAAAAAACCTGTGTGAACTGGCTCATAACTTGGGTAATTAAATAATGGAAAGTGTAGAATGTGCAAATATTACATATTGTAGGGCCTACATAATTGCCTTTCAGTGTAATGTATATGAAAACTATTACCTTAACTAGAGGTGCTCTACTGCATGTTCTTTTCTGTTCATATTTGTGTATTTTAACACAGATGGGAATCGCTTTAGAGCCAGCCAATAAAAAAGACTATAATAAATAATAGTGCTATTCTATGCTGTTATGCATGAACATTAAATGATGCTCAAAATTGTTTTTTCTTAAGATTATATTGTGTGAACTATTGTTTCTTGTATATTTAACAATTATTGTGTGGTTCACAATGCTAAACTATACAGGGGGTACTGTAATGTATATTTGTACCCAGACTTCCTTCAGAAGCTCCCAGCTTTGGAAATCATCTTTGTGCCATTGTCTTATGGCAGTCTTTCCCAGTCATGAAACTGTTTTTAAATCAAACACTGACCCTTTCTGCTGCTTCTCAAACTCTGAAGGGGCTTTCAACAAATGCTTTAAACAGCGTGGATTATCTGCTGCCTTTTTACACATCCCCCAGCTGTTCTGAATTGGAGCAACTGGGACACAACTCTAATTATCTCATCAGCTGAAAGCTGCCCTACTGTGAAGACAGGAGGTCTGAAAGCTGCCAAGTGTGACAAACATTCTTTCAGAGCTCCAGTGCTAGCTTTTCAGAGGAGACCAAACACTTGTATTCCCTCATGTCTGCGTGATATTGTCCCATATTATTTTACAAACACGTGAACCTTACAGGTGATGAAGACTCAAGGGTATAGCACATTTCTTTTTCACATGTCTGTTTTTAAATTAAGAATACAGAACTGTATCTTATTTTTTAATTTTTCTCATGGCCTCCACAGTTTTTATTCAGCACCATTGATGTACCCATGTAGATAAGCTGAAGACGTGTATGTAAAAACTTGCAAGTCCTAAACATGCATTGTAGCTCCTTTTCCAAATTGTAGTCTCACAAAAAAGGCCTCTAAGCTTTTCAAATGGAGCCTTTTTATGATCTTAAAATTTCTGCTATAAGCTAAATAGTGATAAATGAGATTAAATCTGAGATATTTTCTGATACTTACATAAGATGTTATGAGAGAATACAACATGTATCATGACAGTCCCTATTACAATCTGCTTTATGGATACTACTTTATAAGAAATGTATCCATTTCTGTTACTGATGGAAATTTTATTTCATAGAGCTGACTGCGCAGTGCTACCTGCCATTTATCGAACAGATTCCTTCATTTATGTACGTCAGGTGTTCAATAAAGGTTGAAATGAAGTGTAAAATCTGTTAAAAATCTTCGTCACATGAGTGATAGCTGTTTTAGTGCAGTGTTTTAGAATGTATTTCCTTCTGCCGGGGTTAATACAGTAGCAATATTGTTTTGCAGGTGCATTTCTGTGGCAAAATACAGTTTGTTGTTCCTTTTCTATAAGCTACTTGCCTTGAAGTTTGCAACTGTACTTAAAATTTTATAGTAATGAATACTATCCGTAATCCTAGAGCTAAACCTGGAACATTTCATAGACTGCAGCAATTTTGTAGACCTTAGCAATTATCAGAGGAACCCAAAACAACTATTGACTTTTGGCAGGAGGCAGCTCTACTAGAAATATATTGTTGGATTCAATGATTATAACCACCAGTGTTTAAACTTTAACCCAAATATACTGACCTGTCACCGAGGATTGTGGCAGAATGCCAGAAGCAACAGAGGCCTTTTAGTTTCAGACCCTACTGTAAGGGTTTCTCCAGTAGATAATACGTAGTCCAGCAAAAAAAAAACAGAACATGCTTACTGACTCTTCTTGAGCTAAATTACAGTGTGGTGCCAATGATTGATCCCTGCTTTTGAGTTACTGGTAAATGGCCTTTGACTGTAGACGCACAAAGCTCTATTATAATCTGAACAAAAAGGGAAGGAGATCCACATCGTTCTCGTGCAACATGAGTAGCAGTTTTACATAAATAGTTTTGTAGAAAGCCTGTTGTAAGGTCAGCACATTACAATCAAAATGAAGAAAGTTTTAGGTGTATGGCCCATTCATATTCCCTCTACAGTACAGGGTACCTCTCCCAGCTCTTCAGCTTCATATACGTTTTATTTTAAGGGTTATTTCAAAGCACAACTCATGTCTCATTTAATCCATTTTAACTGTGTTGTCTAAACTTTCTAACCCAAAAAATAATAAATTAACTTTAATTAAAATAATAAATTAAGTATCTTTGAAAGCTTGTCTGCTTTAAGGGTTACAGCACAGAATCTTCAGAAACCAATTACATTCTGTACACCAGTTTGAAGAGAAATCTCCATTATTAAAAGTCAGCCTTTTTTAGGATCAATTACGTTTTTTTTTAAAGTAGGCATAATATCTTAGTTAAATTTAAACAAAGTGATGTCAGTATTAAAGACTGGTTTTGGAAATTAATTTTGGAAGGGTATTATTTTCTTTGTTTGTTGTGGAGTTTTGCTGGAGTCCACACTGACCTTCATAGAGTTAAAAAATTACATCTGTGGTTACGCTTTGTGGCTGACATGCAGATTTAAGATGAGCTGTCATTGTTTGGTTAGAAAAGTTGATGTATTTCAGGATATTGATGTGTGTCACCAGTGAAGTAGAAGAGCATAGTTTTCAACATCATAATCTACCCACTCTATGATTCAAAGTGTAACTTTTAACCTCCGTACTAAGTGAGTCATTTGAGAAATTCACCGACAGAAACGTGCATCTTCTTACATTTTTTCAGTACTGTACAGTGGTAGGGTTTAAAATCTAGTAATGCAGTTCTAAGGGCAGGCAGTTTAAAATTATTTTACCAAGGTTTTAAAGCTGGACAACCCAAGCAATGGCTGCTGCTGATGTGACATGACCTTTTGTCTGTTAACTGCAACACATCCTTCCATTTGCAAAACATATCCCATTTTATTCTTTCCCTTAACTTCTGTTGAGCAATTAGTGCACGGTTGCATCTCCACAAGATAAGAAGGGAGTACTGTACTGCTTTGCTGGCTAGACCATCCAAGAAATTATTTCATGAGAATACCGTATGTCCAGAGCTGTACTGCTAAAGCACTGACCAAGTCTAAAATAAAACAAAACAAAAAATAAAACCCCACAGGCTACCAGTTGCTTCCAGGACAGATTTTAAAATTTAGTTGACCTACCAGGTGTCACAATGTCTGTCTCCAGTAACTTGAACTTTCAAGAGTCACTATCCCCACACGCACCAGTCCACTCACTTCCTTCCACTGGCCCTAGACTTCTCTGCTTTACAAGAACGTCACAACATACGTTATGGGACCGAGCCTTTTCAGCAGTAGCTCCCCATGTCTGGAATACGCCTCCTAGTCATATCTGCTGATGTTTTTAAATTTCACCTCAAGGCTTACTTGTTCTAAATGGCTTTCAGTTCCCGACTTCATTCTTTCTTTTACTTTGATAATTTCTACATTGTTTCTGATTCTGTACATTATTTCCTATGTATAATTAATGTTAAGTGCCTTGAGAATGCTCCGATTGAAAGGGACAATATATTTATTCTTATATTCTGCATTTAAATATATATATTATAATTTGTGATTGATTGATCTTGCTTAACCATGAAGAACTTTGTATTGAAACTCCTTGTACTAAATCTGGACGTTCTTAGCTGTAGTCCAGCTATAACACTCACTCTCAATACTTTATTTTTAAAAGAGGTTTTGATTTTTATACCATGTTTCCTTGGGAAAGGAGCACTTTGCTGACAAAGTGAAATGCTTCCTGAAAAGAGTAGTAGAAGGTATCTGGAAAGCCCAGTTGCTTGCAAAATGCATTTGTTAAATGTATTTGTTAGTAAAGCAAGTGCATACCCATGCTTGCTAATGGACAATGTTTGATATTCACTTGAGGTTCTGTATTGATTTGCCAATGATACTACAGTTAGACTTCAGATCACGAGAGAGTCATTTGCTATACTCAACTTATCCATTCAAAGATTTTTAGTCACCCGCGAAACACTAAATCTGTTGGTCACTTTTTGCTGCCCTCTGAGAGGCTGAGAGAAAGTGGAACTACCTCTTAATAATTAGATTAGTCAAAGCAAATGACATGGTGCTAATTTTCCACTCAGTGATTTACAGATTAATGTATTAAAGGACATAGGTAATGAGATTAGAGCTCATAGACATATATCTGATGGCTGCCACTCAGTATGAGCCACATGTAAAACGAGTTTTAACCCTTTCAAAGCCGGGAAGCCTGGCCTTTGAGAGTCGCTCATCTGTGAACAAAGTTGTTCCTTTTTGACATAAGGTGTGGTTCACTTGTTCAGTTGAGAGGAAGTAAAACTAAACTCTTTACAGCTAAATTAAATTGTTTCTCTAACTGTTTCTTTTTGCTTCTTTGTTTTTGTCTGTGTCTCTGCTTGTGTTTCATCAGGAAACCCAGGATAAACTCCCAGCTGGTGGCACAGCAAGTCGCTCAGCAATACGCTACTCCTCCACCTCCCAAAAAGGAGAAAAAAGAAAAGGCAGAGAGGCCTGAGAAAGAGAGGTGTGACCCTGACCGACCTGAGAGAGTCCGCTCAGAGAAGGAACGGCCGGAGAAAGAAAAAATTGATAAGGAAAGACCCGAGAAGGAAAAACTCGACAAAGAAAAAGAAATCAGTCCAACAGTGCCCAAAAAACCAAGCAGTAAAAAGTCAAAGTAAGTACTTTCCTTGATTTGACAATCCTGCTGTATTTTCTTAGTGATTTTGATATACCAGTGACCATTTTTGTGTTTTTCTTTGTTTTTAGACCCAAGTCAGACATTCAGCAAGGTCCACCCAGTGAAATTAACAGTGTACAGTCGGGAAATGCAACAACCAAGACCAATAATTCCCACATTTCAAGGTACTTCAGTGTCTTGGAAAATTCACTTAAAAATGTCAAGTTTAAACAGAATGTGTCCGTATGACAATCTGCCTGGATAAACTATCAAAGTGGTCATTTATGTTAATATAGTCTGGTTTCTGTGATTATAAACCAGTATATTTTTTTTACAGTAGGTTAATCTAGTTCAGTAGTTAATTAATCTAGTTTGATTTTTAACCTTCCTATCACAAATTTCTCAATCAGAGAAGATAAGCCACAGTGTCTAGGCTGGTATGATAAATGTCTCATTTCATTTATGTGATTAAAATACTAGGTTTTCAGTCATGTCTTCCATCATTTCCTGTAAGTATAAGGTAAACATATGTTATTATGAGTAAGTCTGTGACATTATTAACTAAATGTTACATAGAGCATTGTGGTTTTTGTGTAATAAACATCCTAGCATTAAATGTGTGTCATAGTTCATTAAGCAAAACTGTTGAGGGAAATCGAATTAGTCAGCTGTTTGAGAAATCATCTGCCCTTTACACCACCTGCCCTCATAGCTATATTCTTATTGAATTTTATAATGTGTCCTCTGTGTTCACTGCACACTGATACATCAAGGTGTATCTCCATTTTATGTTGTAAGGGAAGATGCTGAATTAAATTTTTAGTATGCTTACAGGATCTTTTTTAAGCACTGAATACATCACATCGAACTGTGAATATACAATTAAAAATTTTCACATAGTCTTATAGATTTGTACAGTCTGTACAGTTAAATACTAAAGACTCTTATTTTTCTTCTTTTGTTGTTGTCTTTGTTCATGGCCAGGCCCAAGCTGAAAAACGTGGACAGAAGTACTGCACAGCAGCTTGCAGTAACAGTTGGGAACGTCACAGTAATTATCACAGACTTTAAAGAGAAAACCCGTTCCTCTTCCACATCATCATCCACAGTGACGTCTAGCACGGGGTCAGAACAGCAGCACCAGAGTTGCTCTGGATCCGAAAGTACGGACAAAGGCTCCTCACGCTCTTCAACTCCAAAAGGAGACATGTCTGCAGTACATGACGAGTCCTTCTGAGCACTGTATATGGAAACATGAAAACCATTCAGGGTTTGAAATTCACATCCCCCAGCTGCCCTCCCTGTGATGACAGAAAGACTCGCTTACAACATTCAAAGCATCACACCCGTTTGGATATCTCCCTGGAATTTGTGCTCTTCGCATTCGGGATGAATGCTGCTTGCATTGGGCAGAGGGTCAGAAAGGAATTTCGTCCCTGATGACACCCTGACACTTTTATGTATTCCATTGTTTTATATGAGTTTCCTAACAATCATTTGTAAATGGATGTGCGGCTGAACTTACTTTTTTATAAAATCTGCTGTGCACAAATGTTTCCATGTACGTTTTAACTGTTTTGATCCATTATTAGCTTTATTTATTACTTGTTGCAAATTACACCCGTGTCCTTTTAGGGGTTTGTTTTTATGGTTTTGTTCTGTTTTACGAAAAAAGCAGCTCAGCTTTTTTTTTCTTCTTTCCCTCCTCACTGTTTTATGAAATCAAAGTTGTTCAAAACCAACACCTTAAACACTGGTGCTTGATACACTGTGAAGTGAAACCAACTTGGAACAGTAACACATCTGGGACTGTCCCTCATACAATAAGACGAAGTGCTAAAACCCAGAAGCTAAAATGCTTACCTTTGCTGTCTTTGCTTAATATATTTTTGACATGCATATGAGCTGATTGGCTGAAGAGGCTGTATAGTAACAAATTGTGTAGAGTATTTTTTACATAGAGACAAAAAAAAAGTCCTTCAGGGGTGGGGTTAGGTGTGTGTGTTAGGGTGGAGTCTTTAAAAGTCCTCTTAATTTTATCTGGACATCCTTCGGCTTAAACAATCTGGGGATTTGTGTGTGAAATAGGTGACATTCGCAATAGTTGAGCTCTTAAAACCATTAAAACAAGAACACTAATTTTGTGGTTTATCACTTTTCAGTTCAGTGTCTGTTTGAAGTTACAGTATACAGCAGTTTGTTCATTCTGCTTTGTCTGCATTTTATATTTTTAATGGAAGTTTTTTCCCCAAAACTTTGTGGCTCTTGGAATTTCTTTGTTATGAAATTTAAAAAGCTTTGTGTGTAATGTAGCCATTGGGGTTTCCACTGTGTACTTGAATATATCTGCATAGTCTCTGGGTTAACGCTGTATAAATTCACCCAATATGTTTTTTTGTAATTTTTACCTTTGCCTTTTAATAGAGCTAATGTGATGGAGAGCTGGACAGTTGATTACAAATAGACAATTTTTATTTTTTTTTGTGGAAAGTGTAATCAGTAGACCTGAAGATTTCCTTTTTATCTTATTGAGGGCAACAGAAACGTTACATTAGCTTAGGCTGAACTACCCAAATGAAATGGATACTATTCTCATATACCTAAAAACGTACATTTTTGTTCTATAACCATAGATTAACATTGTAGGAAGTTGTAGAATGAATTTGTCAGCCTCCTGTAAAAGCAGTGATTCAAAGTCAGCAATTTCCTTTTGAATTTTATTATACTTGTATGAAGAATACAAGTGTATATGATAACATAAAATAAACTTTTAACTTGTTTATTGTAGGACCAAAGGAATTTGATATTATGTGCTACTTGGGCACAGATTGAAAATATTACATGTTCAAATGTCTATTATATAAAAACATTTTAAATTAAGAAGGGTTTACATCCATTTCAAAGGAAATGTTCCTCTCCAGTTCGTTAAATAAAATCTAATTTTAAGAACAAAAATGAACTTTTATCTGAAGATACATGCAACTAGTGTATTCTAGATGTATAAAAACAATGTTGCATTTCTATCAATATTGTATATAGTTTGCACTGCTTTCAATGGCAAAATACTTTAAATATTAACAAAGGTTAATCTACAATATGATGTACACTGGTCTATTCAAGTTTCATGTAAATTAAATCCAAAAGCATTAAAACAACTATTTACTTTTTAAGGTGCTGATCTTTTGTTGTATAATAACCAGCTACCTGTAGGCTGTTGTATTTAAGTTCAGTCATGCAGAACTTACTGTTGCAGCCTCTCAGTAGTGCCTCCTTCATACAAGAATTTTACAGCCAAGCAGGCCTGAAACAATACAGACTTGGGGGACAAGTCATTTTTAACACCACATTAAGTAGACTGAATCAGTACACTGATCTTTGGCAAACAAAATTAAAAAACGAAACAGTAATGGTTGTATCATTAGCGGTTAAATAGTGAGCAACATCCAGTACAATGTCATTGGTACTGATTACAAAAGACCTGAGGCTCTTGTGTATTTTAACCATGAACCAAATATCCATGATTATGCAGCTGACTTAATTTGTTTCCATCTCTGCAGTTTGTAAAATTCCCAACACTGCACCAGGCATTTTTGATACCCACATTACACCAGATGTATTTAGATGATAATTGGAGTAGTGGTAGAAAGTTTGGATTAATAATCTACGCAGTTAGATGGTTGTTTTTTTTTGTAGAATCAAACTGTGACACCTTTGTCAGATGAACAATAACTTCCTTCAGAAAAGATGAATATAAACGTTTTTTTTAGAGGAACATTTTAGCCAGGCTATAAATATAATTGTCCCAGGCAAAAACATAAAGTGGAATCTTTGTCTGGCCTAATCATGTGTTGCAATACATTTCATAAAATAGATTGGATTTCACAATAGCTGGCTTTACACTTGCCTTATCAAATCCCATACTCGGTCTACTTTTGTAAAACGATCAATTGTATCCTAAATTATTGAAAATTGAATATTTGCTGGATATATAAAAACACTTTTGCTTGTATGTAACTTGAAATGGTACAAGAGCCAACATTTAGAGTATGACAATGGAGCTGAACAGTTTTTAACGCGCAAGCAGTTCTGTTCTTGTGTATGACTTGTAACCTTAATTTACTGTGTAAAGATGGTTACATTATTTTTTTCTTTAGCTTTGTTTGTTGGAGACCCAAATATAGAATGCTTGTTTAAATATGGCATAACAATCTTGTGAATTTTTAATGTTAATGTATTATACAAGCTCTATTTTTCTTTTCCCCTAATAAAATGTCTTGTACAATGCTTTGGAAGTTTTTGCTCTGTAAATTATGTAGGGTCAACAGCCTGTTAGTATATAAATATATATATAAATATATATTTTTTATTTTGCCTTTTTTGTTCAGTTTTGGGTTCCTTTTTTGTTTTCTTTTTGTTGTTTTTTTCACTTGCTGAAGTGTCATTGGTGGTTTTGTGAGATGGTCAAATTAATTTCCAGGTCTTAAATGTTTTTTCGGAAATTTAAATGGGCACTGCTCTTCGTCTAGCAAATAAAATGTTAATATATACATGTTAACTGGCATGTGCACGACTATGTTATTAGAGGCCACTTTATCATTTCTTCTGCTTCAAATAGAAATGTCTATTTATGAATTCTGCTTGTAGTTTTTCACAAATAAAATTATTAAATTTATTTAACTTATGAGGATTCGGTTTTTATTTTAACAGTTAAGATGTGCTCTACTTAAAATCCTATGTTCATGTCCAATCGATACATGTTATTAATATACAGCAGACAGCCAAAAAACTAAACCTTCTTCAAACACCTTTATTGACCCTTTGTAATGAGATACGGCAGGATCCATGGGGTGAATAAACCATGTATGATGCCAATCATTAAACAATGCTTCACTTTAGGTAGAACCCTTGAAAATGAACTTCTCAGCACATTGATATTAAATTAGATCTCGTGTCAAGGAAAAGGTAAGTAATCCTGAGCTACATTATTCTCTTTAATGGAACACCTGAGTGTAAAATGGTTATTTTGCTGTTAACTCGGTGAATAGATTGCTGTGTTGTCTAATCGGAGCAAAAATTTAAACTTCAGAATGCCATAGTGAAGTTTTTGTGATTGGCTTCCAATGGCTTTGAATGGTTGTATAGGTTTTTTACTTTAAGCCCCAGGATAGTTGATCATAAAAGGGTGATTAATACATATTTAAGACAAGATTGGTATGCTAGGTTTTGATATGCAACATAATCCAAGGGTATGTATCCAATGGCATTGTCCTTTTAGCTCAAAGGCAGATTTGAAAAGATAATACAACATTTTAAAGATGTTTAGCTTTCAGACACGTTCTCTGTCCTTCATACCCAAAATGGACTGAAACTCCTAAAATGCCCAACTTTATTATACATTTCATGTTATAATCACAACTTCATTACTTGTGCATGTCCTAATGTTTACTTGAAATTCTTTCAACCAGGATTAATAAATAATCCTCATTACTTAACTGACCAAGTGGGGTCAATATATGAACTGCAGCTGAAATTGTTTGATGTAAAAAGTAGTATTTCAGTTGGTATCCATGGTGATCATGCCTCCTTGATAATAAAACATTAAGATAAAATTAGATTTTACATAATTTTTATATTTTTCTTTTTAATTGCTCAACAGATGTATTTTCAGTAAACAGAACAACCACCTTTTCACTATGGTGCAATAAAATTCAAGGACCTAAGGTAGTAGTTGACAATAGGGATTTAATTGTTTTAATTGAAAGGGAAAAGATGGAGATGGGCTTTATTAACAATACAATGGGATATTTCCAATGTGTATGATGCCAGAAACAATTAAACATTAAAATTAACACTCATACAATGCATCTGTTCTGATGATACTTGAGAATTGTATTTATGATAATAGGCTTTGGTTTTTGTAATGATTTTTAATACTTAATATTGTTTAAAATGAATGGTCCCTGAAAAGAGGGTTTTCTTGAAAATGGGGTCCTTAAATCATAAAAGGCTGAAAACACTAAGAGGACTGTGATTTCAAGCTATACAAGCTATACACCTTTGAGAAAATCCCATTAGACTCGCTTTCATCTATAGCTGGCAATCTGTGTGAGTTTGCTGGTAGCAATCAGAAGGCTGACTACTGTCATCAGCCCTGAGGTTTTTCAAATATTGTGTCAAGGATTACTACAAATTTAATTCTGCGGTACCTCTGAAACAGGTGGCATTCCAGCAGGGACCTCTGATCAATACGCAGTACTGTCTCCATTGAGAAGATTTTCCCTCCTTCCATTAATCCCTAACAGCTGAGTTCTTTGAAGCGGCACAAGGATGCAATTTAAAGAGAAGTGGTTGGTGTCTGCTATTGACGGCTCTGTGCCTTTTGTCTGCCATTTAATCTTTTTTTCTTGTTGTTGTAAAGCTTACACTGTCTACTACAATAGGGAGGAGTGGTTAGGCCTCTGGACTTAACTAAAAGATTGTGTATCAAATACTGGGTGGAGTACTGCTGCTGTTGCCTCAGAACATGTACATGAAATGCTGTTGATCTTAGAAATGCTATCATTAGAAATCTAATTTCAAGCAGTGTGACATCAATGTGGGACAGTGCGGCGACATACTGAAATATTGAGAAAAGAATGCTTGTCAGAATACAAGCACAGTTCGTGAACAAAGTGTGTGATTTGCAGGCTTTTAATAGCAGCAGATCTTTTATGCTTTAAAAATACATTGGCTTTCAGAGAACACTCTGATCCACTTTGTTTTCACATGTATGAATTGTACTGTAGTGCACATTTGTAAAATTACTTTAAAATGTAGTGAACTTATGTACCGTGCTATTATTAGCTTGAGATAGACAGTTGTAACCTATTACTCATCAAAACAATGCAGTGGAATGTGTGATCTCACAAACAGTGTGACACATGACTGTACAATCTTCCCGATGCTCAGTTCTTCCTTTTCAACTGAAGGCTGGGCCAACAACTCAGACCCTTTGACCTTGACCATGATCCTGACTCTGGTTAACCTGTGTGTCTAGGAAAGATTGAAACTGGAGGAGCCTCTTTCAGGTACTGTATGTTAAAGCTAAGGCTGAGCTCATACACCACTTCCTTTTACAGGTCTTAATTACCCCATTCCCTGTCCTAATTAAGATCTGTAATCAAAGCTTACTTTTAGTAACTCTCAGTGCTTCACTTAGTGCTTGGTAAATATATGTGTACTTATAATTACAATGACATGAAGCTAACTTATAATGTAATATATAATTGTATATATCATAATTCATTTAGAATTATTTTATTAGCATACGAAACTACACATTTGCTTTGAATGAACTCTGGCAACAGAGTAAAAGGAATTCTGTGGGTTACATGCAAACTGCCAAATAATGTCGTAATTCTTTGCCAGTACACGTAGATACTAAGTAATTGAAACCTAATGCAATGTAATGCAAGTGCAATGCAAAGCCTGAAGCAAAGTGTACACATTTCTGGTGAGTTTCCCATTGCTGGCAAACAGTCTCAAACTTTGAAACTGGACCCCAGATGCCAGACCCCTGCTGGCCAATAAGATACAGAACCTCTACAGCTTGGACACCAGCCCTCAAGCCCTTTAAAAGACTCTCCACTGTCCTCTGTCATACTAAATGAACTCTCCCAGCCACTCCTAGCTCTCATGACTTAGTGCCTGGAGGGAGGGAGGGGGATAAACCATTAGGCCCTTGACCCCAAGTGATTTATTTTTTCTCCTCCAGGAGTTCTTTGTTTTCTTCTTCTCTGTGCCTAATGGTTGTTCTGTCTGCTCTGATGTACTCACTGTACTGATTAACGATTGTGAAAGTGCTCTGTGGTAATTTGTTGCGTAGGACGCCATACCGCATGAAAAAACTGAATTGAATATCCACTGTGTCAGCTGGACTCTCATAACTGTCTCTTCTTTATCAGTGCTTGTTTCTTGAGTCAGTAAGCCTTCCTTTCTTGTATTATAGCCCTAATAGGGAATTTTACAACTGTCATAAATAACAGCTTAAAATGAATATCAATAGTTGTGTAAGTGTGTGTTTGTTAACCTTGTATTAAGCTTGTCTGCACTACTGCAGAGTATGACTTTGTGATTTCCAATCACTATGGATAGGTAAAAGATTTCAGGAATAATAGTAATAAGTGAAATAATTCAAGTAGCGTTACAAAATAAGGAAGGAATGTATTAAAGATAAAAGGTAAAATTGTCCATGGTGTGAGTGTGTGTGTGTCTGCATGTCTCGTGCAATAGACTGATGTCCCATTCAGGGTATGTCCTGCTTTGTACCACCTGTATCCCATGATAGACTCAGGCTGCCCCACAACCCTGAACTGGATAAAGTGTCTAGAAAACGGATTGATGGTAAAGTAATCCTCTAATACTAATTTAATATAAATTAATATTGTATTCCTCTCCCCCTGTATGAAATACTGAAATATTGAGCAAATGGAATAAGATGGAGCTATGAAACAGTGAGAATATAAAAGACAAACAAATATTTATCTTGCAAACTTACAAACTAATACAAATGACTATTTGCAAATTATTTGCAATTACAGTGAGACACTAAGCCCAGGGTTTCTACAATCCAAAATTACTCTCACTCTTTCCTTCAAATAGGGACCAACCTCAGTGCAAACTAAAAGAGACATGTTGACTTAAGGATGTAATGCTGGTTTCTTATCAAGAACAGACCCTTCATGGGACAATCTGCTCTCTCCAGCTGATGCACAATTGCCAGAGATCTAAGCTCAGCCTGGCAGGTTCTAAAAGGAAATAAATCTTCCTGTCAAAAGTAAAAAAAAAAGCATACATCCCTTTGGCCCTAAATTTCCACACTGTCACTTCAGTAGTCAGACATAACTTAAGTGTTCCAGTAGTTAGCAGAAGGCCGAAATGCAGATTCTTTGGATCCGCAGGCAGGTGGAAAGCAGGGTGCTGCTGTTTTTCACTCCGGGCTAAGACAGAGGATCTGAGAAAGGGAGCAAAACAGGCTCTGATCTTAAAAATCTGATCTTTCTACATCAGTCACCTCAGCGACTCCAAGCCCAGATCTGTGATAGCAACTAATTTCCTGTTGTTGGATAGCTGGATTGGTGTTTGATGTGTTATTTCCAACAATTTCAACAATATCTATGTTGTCTCTCATCAACTTAGAATTGTATGTTGTATGTTAAATGTTTAAAAATATATGCCCTAAATTCTGCCTAAGGAGCTTTCAAGAGATGAACAATAGATAAAGGAACAGGTTGGAATGGCACTGTATCAGACAACTGCCACAGTGAGTCAGTGGTATTGCTTCTAATTAAGTCCAATTGGTTAGTTTACACTTGACAAACAAAGAGGGCAGTCTTAAAACTCACTTATTAGTGCAGGGTTCACGCCAATTTGGATTTTTAAGATATGAAAACAAATTTAAAAATGGCTTCAAACATAAAATTGAAAGGGCTGCTCTTTCACTGGTTAGCGTTGCTGCCTTGCAGCACAGGAGCCCTGGGACCCTGGTTTCAGTTCCTGAAGTGCTAGCTGTGTGGAGTTTGTGTGTTCTCTCCATGTTTGTGTGGATTTTATGGCTGGAGCTCCGGTTTTCTTCCACAGTCCAAAGACATAGGTTAATTGGCTTCCAGGAAAATTAGTTCTGGGGTGAGAGTGTGCGT